GTGTGGCAGGAGTCAGCAGGTGCAGAATGCACAGGCACACCGGTAGTGTCAGAGGCACTTACGGGAGTAAGAGCTGGCACTGCGACAAACAGGCTCTTATAAACTTGAATTTCAGTGAAAAGATCAGATGTGCTTATAATTATTGCCATCATGCTAGCTGATAGCAGTCCGATCCTTTGCTCCATGTACCACCCAGCTCCCCCAATATGCATGAGAGCTGGCATCAGCCAGGTCAGAGAGGATCTTTGCAACTGCACAGTGCTCTCTCTAACCCTGTACATTGAATGTTGGCACTGATGAGTGATGCTTGGAGGCTCTCCAGCCACAGGTTAGCTGGTGACAGGAGGCCCCAAGGGTAGGTAGCTGCTGTGAGTAATCAGACAGGCACCTGGTACATACTGAAATATTCAGAAACAGGCAGCAGGAGCTTTCCTGCAAGGTCTGAGGGAATATGTACATCTAACTCAAATGCTAGAATATGAAAAGGGCACTGTTTTCCTGACTAACTCACAAAATAAAATGGCAAAATGGGACCATGAGGGCCTCTGAGATCATTATGAGGGTGCTGAGCCAGGGAGTTCCATTAGCTGCTGTTGGTGTCTGGGTGTGGGGCTCTGGGAGGTAGGAACTGGTAGCTTTTCTTCTCTGCATGTAACTTCGCCCTTCCCTCAGTGTGTCACCTGCAAGTCCAGCCTTGACCAGGGCTCAGCAAGGCTGTGTGTGCTAACTTGCACCAGAAGGGTACCTGCTTTTACCTTGGTGCTGGGAGAAAGAAAAGCCACTGAAAAGCTGAGAGTTGTTTTCTCTCTTACAATGGTAATGGGATGTTGGGTGGCACTGACCCAAAGTTGCTGGGCTGTGGTTGTTACATTCCTTGTTGTATTATGACTTAGTTATCCTAATGCATCAACAAATGTAATCTTTTGTTCTGTCCTGCCTCAGAAAAAGGATTTCTCATCTTCCAGTGATAGGCATGTTGTTTCTGACAGAAATTCAAGATCTGCTTTGTGCCTTCAGCCTCCTTAGGCCAGCAAAAGTGATCATAGTGGAAAAGAAGGTCTAATGAATGGTAGCAAGGTAGGCATTAAATTCCCATCACACTCTGTGTAACAGAATCTGCTGGTAACCTCTCATAAACTACCTACAGTAGTTTGTCTCCACTAATGTGTTTCTGAAGCCAGAAACCCTTTTCAATGCATTAAGAGCAGGATAATGAGGGATAAAAACATTCTGGATAAATGTAGGGAGCAGACTTGTCAACAACCAGTCAGGAGGAAAAGCAGATCTAGTTTGTTAGGCGTACATTAGAGTGTGTAGCTAACAGTGACAGCAGATACATGAATTCCTCTGGCTTTCTTGTGGAGATAGCGACTCAGAATCCACTTGGAGGGAAGAATTACAATTCCCTTTACAAAATCAGACTAGATGAAATAGCAGTGACCCACATCATAGGAAAAAACCCAAAAAACATTGCTTGTTCTTACTATGGCTTTTGTTGGGCAGAAGTTAGTTCACTGAAGCTTGCTCATTTAGGAGAGAAAAATGAGGAATGCTTTGTTGCACTTTTTTCTGCCTCCTAGCCTGATGAAATGAGCTGTCCAAGGACTCTCATTCCCTGTCTGCAGAGAGGGAAGCCTAAGGGGTTTTTAATGACATGCAGAAGCTGAAGGGAGAGTCATTAGCACTCGAGTGTCTAGGTGACTCTTAAAAGTTAAGATTAAAAGCTTTGATGAAAGTGACCTTCACACTTCATGTTCCCTCTTAGCTTTTCTCCATGCTTGAATCTCTAGTGATCACTTTTTTTCTGCTTTGTCACTGTAGCACTTATTTTGTGAAATTATTTTATTCCATAGCTCAGCAGGGTGGTAATATCTGCAAGCATTGGGTGGGTGCAAAACAAAGGCGGGTGTAAAGGGTCAGATCTTCTCTTTGTAGTGAACTGAACAAAACCTGGAAACATTGCTAGATGCAGGTTTTTAATATTTTAATTAAAATTTGATTATAACTTTAGGAAAGGATAAAAATATCTTCAAATGTATGAGTATGCCATGCTGTCCTCTTCGAGCAGGGCAGAAATTTGCAGGAGAGCACAAGAAAAGCCTGTTGGGAGTGGAAAGAATATGTATAACTAGGGGCTTGTAATCCTGTGGGCTCTTGAGCAGCAGACTGGAAATTCTGGGCATGCTGTTGGAGGATGGCATGTGTATTTATGTCTGGATCAGTTGAGAGGATGTGAGAGAACAGAGGCGTGGCATTTGAGTAGAAAGGGAGGAGAAAAGAAACATCCAACAATTTGAAACAAGGAGAGCAGTAAGTGCCAGTAGTGTAGTCAGGCTAGAAGACAGGAGTAAGAAAGAGCCTTTTGGGAAGAAGTTATCTCTAGGGTAGCTTTGTTTATTTTTTATTTAAAAATGCAGTAGGTATTTGTAATTGTAACTGAAACTGAAATTAATGGCCCTGTTTGAGACACCAACGCCTGCTTGATTGATTGAAATGGGGAATAGTTTAGGTAAAAACAATATATCTTTCTTTTAAGATAATTAAAGTTTTATTTCGCTTGAAATGGAACTTTTCTTGTAGTGTTAATGACATAAATCATGCTGGTGTTCCTTTAGTTTATAGCGAGCAAAAGAGTAAAAAGTTTATTTTCCTGCACTGAAGTAATTATTTTAGTTCATTTTTCATTCTGAACTTTTCATTCACATAGAAAAAGAGAAAACAGTTTTACCAAACATTATTCTTATGATCCTTGGAGCCCTGAAGTGTTCCTGAAGATACGGAGTACTCATAGCACATTTCAGAGTAGTTTCCTCCTAATATGTGTGGAAAAATCTATCTCTGATGTCAGCTATAAGTACATACAGATGAAGGCACGTAAGTAGTTGGTAATACAGAGGGTTTTCCATTGTCTTGCAGAAACAGTTCTTAGTCTGACTGTACTTCTTGGATGAAGTCTAAGACTCAGAATGGAGTCAGGCTCTTTTCAGTGGTGCAAGCAACAGGACAAGAGGCAATTGGCAGAAACTGATGCACAGGAAGTTCCAGCTGAACATGAGGAAAAGCATTTTTACTGTGTGGGTGACTGAGCACTGGAACGGGTTGCCCAGAGAGGTTGTAGAGTCTCCCTGGAGGCAGTCCTGTGCCCTGTGCTCTAGGATGAGTCTGCTTGAGCAGGGAGGTTGGACCAGGTGACCTCCTGTGGTCCCTTTTGGCCTGACCCATTCTGAGATTTTGTGACTCTTGGACTCTTACTCTTCAGAGGCAGCTGAGCTGCCCTGTCACCTGATAGGTTGGAGTGCTGTAGCCTTGTAGGTGTGGGTTGATAACAAGTGATGCTGTCAGGCTCCTCTCAACAAAATTAAATGCTTTTTGTCCACTTCTCAGCAGAGCAGTTACCTCTCCAGGTATCTGAGATGAGCAGTTACTTCTGTAGATATCCTCAGACTGGAAAAAAGCCCAGTGCTGTGATCAGCAAACAACTTTGCATAAGGCTCTGGCAAAAGGGAAAAGTGGTATTAATTTTCATAGTGATTCATAGTTTGTAGGGAAAGTATCATTATTCTATCACGTATTAACTGTCTAAGTACCCAAAGCTCATGTAATATATTGAAAATGTCAGGATATTTTCATCTTTGCTATTTCATTCACACTGAGAATTTGTTCAGGATGTGTTAAATTAAAAGTAATATATAAACAAGGTGTGAAGAGTTTAGTTAAGTGGTAACCCGAGGTTAAAAACACAGCAATCAAATTCAGTGCCTGAAGTTGGCAGGGAGATCGTCTTACCACCTCGGGAAGACTTGAAATTAAACTTGTTTTGAAATGTAGGTGTTAAATCTGTGAAAAAGCCCTCACTTGCGTATGTAAATGAAGTGGCTTCCCAGAGATGAAGAGAGCATGTTGAGCTCCTAGGCTGCCTTTAGGAGAGAGAGGGGCCGTGCTCCCATCAACCTCTCTGCTGTGGTTCTGTTTTGTAGCATCTGTGAGGAGGAAATCTTTAGGTAAAATCAGGGCTGTGCTCCTTGTCTGGCTGCCCTTGGCCACCTGTCAACAACAGCGGGTGGGGCTGTGCTGTTGGCTGCTTGAGCTAACAGAGACAACAGCTTTGGGTTTATTTTTGTTGGGCTTCTGAGACCTTATTAACTTGAAGGGAGTTTTTGGAGATGCTGAATTTCTACACTGTGCTTGTGTTCAGCTTTTTGTTCTTCCTGGCGTTGCCTTCAAGTAAATGCATGGCAAGTAGCCTTACAAGGAACAAAAAATCCTTCCCATTTCAGAGTAAACAGGAGGAAGATTAAGCTCCTTCCCCTGGTAATTGGATCCTCTGATTGCCATGGCTTTTGAAGATGATTGTGTATCTTTCTGTATGTGATAGATTATGTGTGTGCCTGTGAACTAAAAGGTAGCTTGGCTTTCAAAATCCAACAAGTTTTCCTCTATAATCATTTTATTTTTGGTTATTTACTTTGTGTGCTGACCATGGGACATGTAGCATTCTAGCCAACAAAATGAGGCAGGGAAAGTCCTCCTGCAGCTTTTCCATCTTAGACTCTTCTCAAGCCGTAGGAGGTTGGTGACTGTGTGGGACCCTTCAGAAAATGAAAGCTCTCCCAAGGTTACAGTAAGGAGGATTCAAATGAATGTGGGAGCAGAGGGGAAAGTGGACTGGATGTGAACCTCCTTAAACTGGTTGAAGTGCAATCCAGTTCATCTGTGGAGCAAACACATTTCTATCACCCCTGGTCAGCAAAAGAAGTGCCATTGCAGTTGAATTGTCAGTATCCAACCACTGTCTTCAGAGCTGGTCTATGTTGTCTCATGGTTTCTATTCTCAGGGTTTAAATTTTTAAATTTGGGCAGGTAGCAGTGTCTCTACCTCTGTGTTTGTGCAGTAATACACCTGGTATATTTGAAACCCGTTCTACCAGCAGGGCTCCAAAGAGCTCATGTTAAAGTCACCATTTTTCATAAACCACAGAGTCTTTCCGTTCTTTTGACAGATTGAAGACATCGTTACAAGGATGCAAGATGACAAAACAGGTGGAGTTCCCATCCGCACTGTCAAGAGCTTTCTGTCCAAAATTCCCAGCGTGGTCACCGGTAAGAACTGCAGTTGGCAGAGAAGAGAATGTGAGCTGGTATTTCTGGCTCTAAACAAACATACTAAAGCCACAAAAAAAGAAAAAACTCCACCTCTGCTTAGTTTTTTCTATATGTTGTTTTGTTACAGGCTGAAGTATTGAACAAAGATTCCTTAGTTCTGTTTTACTAAACAAGCATTTATATTTCTTTGGGGTGAGTTACTAAAAAAATGTTACGTAGTTTTTGTGTCTATCAGAATATCACCAGTCAGTCATTCACTATGACAGGGGTAGGACAATCTTATGTAAGAGATCAGGCAAGACAGTTGAAATTGTTTCCTTGCTCATACCCTAATACTCTTACTGGACTTTGATCACAGGTAGAAGAATGTGAAATACCTTTCATGCATGTGTGCTGCTTTGTTAAACTCTGTGTACAAAAGTGTGGATGGTGCAGAAACAGGGAGTCAGAACAAAACCATTCCTCTGTGTATTTCCAGACAGAATATCTTCCAATGCAATGAAGACATCTGCCACTGATAGATGATGAGTTGATTCAGGATGATGTAAATTTTATGGAGGATTTTTGGGTTTCTGGTACCTGTTTTCACTGACTCAATAGAAGTGTTCCTGAAGGTTCCTGGGGAAAATAACCACTTATCTGAGTTGAAAACTCATTCTGTAAGCTCAAGTCTGCAATACAGAGACTGGATGTCTTAAGATCAACTCAGCTAAAAGAGGTTTCTTATACTCTGGTTAAAATTCATAGCATTAAAAAGGTAATTTATCTAGTCACCAGGCCACTGCATGTTACTCAAAAGGAAACAGGAGGCCTCATTTTTAAAGGTTTTAATAGGAGGCAGCATCTTAAAACCATGGTTGGCAGCTCTCTGGCATGATGGAAACTTCTCCCTTGCACTCAGTTCTGGAACAGCATCTGCAATTGCATTGTCTTGAAATGGCTCGTTTTCACAATTCAAGGAATTGTGAAAAGAAGATAAAATAAGAGCAAAACGTCTTTCCAAAGACCATAGAAATTCTCATATTTGGAGGGAAACAGGCTCAGGTACCATTCCCTTCAAGTGACTTTAAGGCAGCTCCCTTGTGATACATGGACAGTTCATGAAACCTCAGAGTTTCAAAAGTATGGGAAAACAACAGTCCAGTGGAAAGCCCAATGTTTTCCCCATTTGTTGTTTTTCCTTTCAGATGCATAGATCTGCCTATTTGTAGATCAAATGTTTTGGTTATCAGTGACTGATTGTGATAGATAGGTGAAGAGGCAGGAGCACCTACATTTGAATGGAAGCTGAGGACGCTGGGCTTGTTCAGTCTGGGGAAGGAAAAGCTGAAAGGATTGAGAAGCTACAAAGACAGGGTCAGATCCTTTCTCAAGAGTGCATGTTGAAAGTACCAAAGAATCTACATAAGTTGCAGGGAAAGAAATCCCAACTGGTTTTACATACAGGAAGAAAGTTGCTTATGGTCAGATGTGGTGAGCATGAGCCTAGTGTCCTGAAGGAGCTGTGGAACCAGTGGTTTACAGCTGTTCAGAAACCCCTGGGCCCAGCTGAACTGAGCAGTCTGACCTAACCGTGAATTTGGCCTTGCTTTGTGTGAAGGTTGGACTGCACAACCTTCAGGGAATCCTTCCTGAATTACTCTTAGTCAGTGGGTGCTCAGTTTTAGTGCTTGTCTAATTCCACACAATGTAATGAACACACAAGAACTTGTCTTTTCAAAAACTTTGTACTCCTTTTGGGAAGAGCTCAATTCTAAATGATGGCATTTTCACACACTTTTATTTCTACCTGAAAAATGGAACAGCAACACAGAGATGTGATTTACTTGGCAGGCTCCCAGTGACTGTGATTAACAGGGATTTATTTTTGCTTGACACTTCTATTGTAATTGCTTCTCACAGGAGAAATATAAAATCTTAAAGGAAAAGAAATATTACAGGAGTGCCTTGGTGCTCCAAACAGGCAGCTCTGTTTATAGTACAGTGAAGTGGGTGTTTGATTTAAAGTTTGAATACCAGGGAAAGAACTGCTTGTCTCTGTTTTGCTTTCATCTGTCCTGATGCCTTAGGTGTGAATGAGGTATTGGGTAACACAAGGAGAATAAGCCTCAGGGAGTTATCAATAATGGTCCTCTCTTGACAAGAGAAATCTGGGGAAAAGGATGAAAAAACTTTTTTGGAATGTGTGATGACTGTTTGTGGGGATGCTGTGCCAAAGACACATTTAAATCTGCTCTGGAAGCAGATTTGCATGTCCCCTTCCCAGTCTTTTGGCTCAAAGTAGGTCAGTCAAAGGAGGACACATCACACCATTATCTTCTTGGTTAGGTCTCCACTTTTATGGGCCAGTCATAGAGAATAAAGTAGGATGGGACCAGTCTGTGTGGCACCTGTGTGCATGTGTCAGACATTGTCCAATGTTCAGCTTAGAGTATGGAATATGGAAAAAAAATGCCTGAGGGCAGATTTTGAGTAGTGCTGTGATCCGTGCCCAGAGTGGCTTGTCAGCCAGTGCACGTAACGGCAGCTGCTGCAATAAATGGACTTGCATGTTTCTGTTCTAGTGAGAAAAAAAAAATTCTCAGTAAAGCTTTTGTTTCTGTAGATGAATTGTTAATTCTATTTTCCCAGTCACCAAACTCTCGTACGAACACCTCATTATACTAACCAGTAACAAAACTGGCTTTCTCATCTTCTTTTTGATTTTCATATCTTAAAACTGACCTCTTTTTTGGTAGGAGGACCAAACACATATACTTTTTTCTCCCACTGGTTCAGTCTTGGTCTTACACAACATTGCCAAAACAAGTCAGAAAGAAGTCAGTGCTGCAACAGCATAGCTTTCCAGTACAAAAAGCCTCCTTCATGCTTCCCAGTTTGCCGCACGTTCCCAACCTCATTTCAGATTCTCCTGTTTTGTGTGCTGTATGATACCGTGTGTCTTTGCTACCATAATCCAAGGGAGACGTGCAGTCTAAAATCTTTGCACTAGTCTGCCCTCCTCCCAAGAGGTTTCGATACAGCTTCATTCTGATCCATACCCCCTGACTTCAAGCGTGGCTGTCCCCACAGCTCCGTTTTGAGTGATACCTCCTCCTCCCAGTGGCAGTCCCACACCTGGTCCCTTGCTCCTGCACTGCTCCTGACCCTCGCCCCAGCACTCACTTGTCTTCCTTCTCTGCTCCCAGTGCTGCCATGGAGCACTCAAGACATGCCAGTGCACTTCACTCCTGTCCTGCCATGCCTGTCTTATATAAGCCCTGGACCTCTCTCAGCAGAAAGTGCCAGTTTTACTGAAAGGTGCCAGATGGCCTGTCACTGCTTGAGACTCAGGAGCTAAACCAAGTTTAAACTGCTGTGTGTGTCTGTCTGAAGAAGCCAGCATGTGTTTTGGCAAGGGCCCATGGAGTTGTCCCAGAACACATCAGAATGTCACTTACTCAAAGAAAATGCATTTGGGTGGAGTATGGAAATCCCACAGTATTGTGAAAAAGAGACTCTATTATTGATAACGTTCCCTGATGATGTTGTTCAAAACAGACGAGTTCTGCTGAGGAATTTTATACACTCACTGAGAAATTAGTTCCCTTGAGGCCAGTCTGAAGGTGCTGGTTGCCTTTTCCCTTCAGAGGAGCTGAAGCACACCTCTCATCCAGATACAGCAGCCAGAGGCCCAAGGGAGAAATAAGTTCCTCGTGTCCAGAGTTTGAAAGGCCCCTGTTCAGGTGAACTGAATGAAAAGAGATTGTTGTGGCATGGGGAGCAGGCCCAGGACAGGCAATGGTGGCAAGAGCCAGCACTCCTCACCTGGAGAGCAGGCTGCAAGGCTGAGTGCTTGGCCAGAACATTGCTTTCTTAATGCTTCTATTCGGGGGTAGAACTTGCCTTGGTGCCTTATGGAAACTACTGGCATTGGGACCAAAGCCTCCATGAGCTGACTGCCGATAGATTTGGCCTCCCTAGGCTGTCTGTCCAGTTGCTTGTTTCACCTTAACACAGGTCTTTCACTGCAGGACTGAGTTTAATACTGATTTCCCTCAGCATCTGAGTAGTTTTGTTCTAGATATTTTGTCTTTCCTCTGTAGCTCTGTTTTGAAAAATAGGACACTTGAAACGTGGTACTGACTCTGTTTCAGGCAGCTATTAGATGTAGATAGTCCCAAATCTAAACCAAGTTCAATCTTCTGCTAAGCATGAATTTGTTTATTTAGTTAAAACAAGCAAACAAAAAGCCACTAACAGACAAACAAAAAAAATTCCCAAAATTTAAATCAATATCCAAACTAATACTGGGTTATAAGGATAGAAAGAACATGCTCGTGGGTTAAAATTGCACATATGTTTTATGTGCATACTGTATAATTTTTAATGGTTTTCCACATTTCTAAAGAGTAGATGCTGCACAGTAAATTCAACAGTTTAGCAATTGCTTGGTGGAAACGAGCTTGCCAAATACTGGGTTGGGCCTACAAATCCACTTATTTCTCATAAAAAATCAATTGTTATGAGCAAGTTGCGTTTAAACTAACTCAAGACTGGGCTTCTTGATAACTACTTACATTTCTTTCTTTTATGCGTCTCTTCAGATTGCACCCAGTGGAAATGTGATCCCTCCATCCCTCAGTAAGAATAGTATTTCAAAGCTGCTGTGAATCACACAGCATTAGACATGTCAGCAATTACATGAGTAGCACATGTATTGCAATTATTTTTTTTTTTCCTGTAGCTTTCTCTTAAGCTCTCTACTTGCATGCCGGGCGACAAATTAACCCAGTTAAGGAGTCAAACTCTCATGCTATCTTCACCCTCATCTCCCTCCTTTTTTCTTCCTAACTGCATCCATCTTCCTACCTTTCAAATGGTGAGAAGGATGAGGGAGGAGAAGATGAAAATCATCTTCCTGAAGCGTAGCAATTTTGTGTGTGTTGTAAAGATGTAAAGCAACACCTTGTGAAGCACAAGCCTAAAGGATTTGATTTCAGAGAACAAGGGGGACAGCAGATTAATCAAATAGGATGTGATTGTCAAATATGAGAAAGCAATCAGAATTAACGTTTTTAACAGTGGATATTCAATATATCTCTCTCTGCATCTGCACATGTGCACACCTAAATACATGTAAGTAGTGTGCA